GTGAAGAAAGGTGAGGTTAAAATGCCTTTTTTTTTTTCCCTCTCCCTTCTGGAGAATAAGTTTTCAAGCTTTTTATATCTGTAGGAGTGCAGTGGACACACATTTGTTGAGAAGACCAGAACATCTAAGTTCACCCTACCTAGTGTTTCTTTTTCTGAAACTGTATTTCTTTCTTTACATTTCTGTAATTACGGTATATGGTTTTAAGTGCAATTTTACTTAAATCTAGACCAGAGACACGTGAGGTACCTGTATCAGCAAATGACCAAAATTTGCAAAGACCTAAACAAAAGAAGCTGTTTTCTTGCTAATGTGCTTTTTTTTTTTTACCAGTATTTTATCAACCAAACTCTTCTCGTTATTAGCAAGTTTAGAAAAAAATATACAGATGTTTGAGTATGAACGGACACTATTTGTCATTTCCATCACTTCAAGCAGGGGTTTATTTTCACCTGTGTGTTCCAGTGGCCACTAAGTAATAGGTGATAAGGTCTTGGACTAACAGTTTATACCCTGACAAGTATGTTGGACTGTAAACTCCATAAGGGTAGGAACTCTGCCTGGAGCCTCTGCTCTGTCTTACGCAGCCTCACACGGAGTTGATGTTGATGAATAATGGCACGAAAGCATGTTTTATATTTTAAGGCTCGGCAGGATTGGACCAGTCACTGATAAAAGTTGGAAAGCAAATCTGTTTAACTTTTTTTATGGCTGTTATGAAATGTCTGAATTATTCATGTTTTTAACAGATAGGTAAAATTGTTTCAATTAATCCTTTTTAAGTTCACAATAGATACTGGTCACTCTTGCTAAGATTTAATATGCTATAAACGTGAAAATACCTCCTGGCTGCTTCTCAGAAGCTGAACTACACACCACTTCCTTTCTGCTAATACTAATGGTAGCCTTTAAAAGCAAGTTGCTTAAATTGCAGGCACAGTCTAACATGCTTGAAACTGACCTGCTTGTCTACATACCATCAGGTCGCTTTAGAAGGGTGAGCAGAGGAGGGAAAAGGTGGTGCCAAGGGTAATTCCAGGAATTTGAATGTTGGTAGGCTCCCTCTACCAGAGAAACAACTCTCCTGTTCATCTAAATAAATTTGAATGGCTACCTTATGATCTGGAAGCATTTAGCATCCTTTGCATTATAAAAGCTGATGAATAACTCACTAGCTAAATACAATCCAGTTAAGGTGGTCTGGCATCTTCACAGTGTACAAATACATGCTCTGTAAAGACAGATGAGAGGGATGAGTCTCAGGGTCCTAAATGTAAGTTAGTAGCTTCACAGAATTCGTTTTAAGGTAGGAAGAAGTAAGTGTGGGATTCAGATTTCAAAAGGTGGGGGAGACAAGATTCTGAGACTTGAAAGTCTTCATTGATACTTCAGTCCACTTCCTTGTGCCATAAAACTGAGTAGGATTAGAAAACGACGGATCTTCCAGGTCTCAATGAATATGCTTTTAAAATGTGGGGCTTTGGCCGCATAAAACAGTCTTTTTCAACTTGCAAACGATAGGAAAGTACTGATTAGAAGACATTGTCCAAAAGCTCTTATTAAGGACTCACAGGTATGAAACTGGACTAATTGTAGATTGTTTTGTAAAAATACTGTTCACTCTGTGTGGAATGCTCTTCTCTTATCATGGATGCCTCTTTGCCATCTTTTAGATTTCAATTTAAAAAGTCACTTGCTCAGAGAGGCCTTTCCTAACCACCTGTGCGAATCTGTTCTCTCCTTCCTTATAATGTTACCGTACCCTGCTCGATTCCTTAGAAGTCATCAGTCTAAAATTGTTCCTTGCTTATTTATTATCTCACTCTTCATTAGACTGAAGGCTTCATTGGGCAGCAACTGTGTCTTTTTTTCACCTATCCTAGTGTCTAGTTCAGAAGAAGCACTTGATTAAATATTCGTAAAAAGAATCGATCCTTGCCCTCAAAGCATTTGCAAGGTGGTGATCACTATGGGTTCCTGCCTTTGCAGCTGACTAGCTCTTAGGGCTTGAGGGTTTTACTCAACAATTCTTTGCTTGCGTTTCCCCATTTATAAAGAATGTTAGGAAGAAAAATGAGGTTGTTGCCTAAAATGAAGGTACTGTAGAATGGAGAACTGGTGAAAGTGGAGTGGGGACAGTGCTGGATTATAGGACAGAAGAGCCGTGATGGCCTTTTTGCTCATAGTGAGCTGTTTGACCTCACCTGATTTCCTCATCTGCGCAGTGGAGATTATAATCCCTGCCTCTTCTTACAGGGATGTTGTGGGGATCAAGTGAGATAATGTACAAGAAAGTGCTTTGTAATTTGTAGAGTGCTTTACAAATGTAAGATATTCTGTTACTAAATTCCGGATTCCACAGTAGAGCCTGATTAAATGCCATCACTGGGATCTGTGCTGTGAAAGTGTATGAAAAGGAGGCCCCATGGGTGTGTATAGTAACCTTTTTTTGCGAGTAAAGACAGACTTGGGTTATATGGTGGTGAGGCATCGGTGTATCATTAAAGATCGAGGGCTTCAAAGAATTGTTTGAAATGGTCATGGAATGTTCAAGTCATACCTTGGCCTAGTCATTTTAGAGGATATATAGGCCAAATCTACAATTAGTGATTTTTATAGAAGAATTTCAGGGAATTAAAGTAAAACAGGAACTTTCAAAGCCTGCATGTTACCCAAGAAAAATTATTACCAAGACCAAATAGGAAATCCCAAAAAAAGTCCATCTGTGCTACCCTTAAAAGATGAACATTATCCTTGGTCAGATCTTACTCCACCTTTAGAGACCCTTACAGGCCAGAAGAGGCAGTGATGTGTTGATGAAGGGCCTGGACTCTGTAGCCAGGCTGTCTGGTGTTTAAGTCCTGGCCCCACACTTCCCCAGAGTTGACCCCTGAACTCTCTAGGCCTCCGTTCTTCATGTGTGAGGGAGATGATAGAGGGTGATTTTGAGGATTAAATCAGCCAATACGTGGAAGGCCCTGAGGACAATGTCTGCCTGGTAGGTGAGTGTCCAGTGAATGTTAGTTAGTTAGTTTTTATTGTTTGGCATTCATTGAAGGTACAAAGAATTAGGTTACACTGATTTGCATTTGTTAGGTAAAGTCCCTCCTGTAATTGTGTCCAGCTCCCAAGTTATTTATGGTTTTATATTAATTGTAACAAGTTACCTATTGGGTGACTTAAATCCATATAAAATAAATTTTTAAAGACTGTTATGCTCATCGATATTAAGATTAGAACAGAATTCATGTATCTTTATAGTAAGAAATCTGTTGTATCAAAAAAGGAATAATATTTTTCTGTCTTCTGTGTGTGTGTATATATATTGTTGCTGATTGCAGTACTCTGTAGGAAAAGTACAAAGAACAAAAGAATATATTCCTGCTGCCCTCCTTCTCTGCTATCACACCAAAATTGAGTGGGAGACTAAGTGAATCAAAAGGCTATTGATTATGGCAGCTGGACCAATAGGTTTATTGTTAGCCTGCCATTTCTCAAAATACTTAGCTAGAAAATATTCTGAATTATTGAAGACATTGTGTCATTTAATTTTTTTTTTTTTTGACAGTCTGAAGATAAATTATTTTCTTTGTTGCCTCCGTTTTCACCACCTACAAACGGGCCATTCTCTAGAAGACCTGTTTGAGAGCCTGCGAGGCATGGAAGGGACACACAGTCACAGAGGCCCATCTTCACCACACTGAGCTGCATTTTTAACAGCTACCCAGCCCAGCCGGCAAGTTTTGCTTAAATTTATGCAGGAATAGTTTAATTACATGACAACATGACTTTATTTTAAAAGCCATCCATGCTTTTACTTTTAAGGCTATTTGTGCTTCCCGCGATAGTCGAGTCCAAGGAAGGGAATTTTCTTAACCTGCCTCCTCTTGTCTTTCCCCCACCCCCAGATCATAGCCTATTAAATTGAAATCTGAAAAACTCTGAACTGGGGCCTTCGTTTTTGAAGAATTTGTGCAAATTCTCCTTTTGTGTTTAGTAAATAAACTCACAACAGGGTGAGTTTAACTCATAAACACTGAACATGTTAGATGAATTTCTGTAGGGCTTCTCAGATGATTAATGAAATTCTACAAAACCACTAAACTGAATGTTGAAGTTACTAGTGCTTTAGGAACTAATCACAATACAATTGGTAGGTTTTTTGGTTTGAATGGTTTTTTTCCCCCCATTTTCCCAAAGGTGACGCTTTAGACATTTTTTTAAAGGAACATACACATGCAGAGACTGGTATATTTGGGGAAGATCACAAATCACGGAATTTGTCATGTTCCTAAAGCAGTTTTGTTTTATACGTTTTAGCTCTAAATATATTACCTTGTGTCTCCCCTGAGTGTGGAAGTAGTTATATAGGTAATTGTTAAATGCAATTGAAAAGACCTTTTATCATCCTGAGTAAACAGAAATCAGGTTCTAGAACCAGATTGAAAGAAGGAAATTACATCACACTCTTAAATAAGGAAGCACTGGGCAGAACTGGATGAGTTGTATGACAAAAATGTGCCCCTCCTCCTCCTGCGGATTGCTTCTGAGATTTATTAATGAGATCTGGTGGCAAGGTAAGCCTATCTAGGTTACTGCCTTAAGGTAGCCTGGTTTAATACTTTTTGGTTTTTTTTTTTTTAAACAGTTTCAAATAGACTGTCCTCAAGCTAAAGGTATATGATTTCACCTTGATAAGGAAGGTACAGTTGCTTTTTGGTGTAACTTTTTTTTTATAAGGAATGTGACTTGCTTTTTTTTTATTTTTTGAGACAGAGTCTCACGCTATTGCCCAGGCTAGCAAGGCTAGAGTGCTGTGGTGTCAGCCAATCCCACTTCAGCCTCAAACTCCTGGGCTCAAGCCATCCTCCTGCCTCAGCCTCCTGAGTAGCTGGGACTACAGGATAATTTGTTGGGTGGGTTGTTTTGTTTTGTTCGTTCTTCTTTTAGTGGAGACAGGGTCTTGCTCTTGATCAGGCTGGTCTCTTAACCCCTGAGGCTCAAGCAATCCTCTCTCATCAGCCTCCCAGAGTGCTAGGATTACAGGCATGAGCCACCAGGCTGAGAGCCTGACTAAAGGAATGTGACCTTAAACTTAACAACAAGAACACAGTAGGTGCATTGTAATCTAGAGGGGATACCGTGTAAGAGAAAGTAAAATCCATTGCTTTCAGGACCCACTCTAATTTCAGTAAATACACAGTAACAAACCAATATAGAAAGTTACATTGTTAACCACTTCAGCTCATAATTTTTAGTCAGTCTGTAAATGTCCACTTTGAATTCTGGAAGTTACTTTAAAGAAAATCCCTTCTTGGTACTCATCTGAAACTTGTCTGTCACTGGACAGTCTCATCACTGCAGCACCTGTTAGGCTCTGTCACTGACAGTATATCTGTAATTTCTTAAAATGAGATGGATATTTTTGCAGCATCTATTTAATAAATAATAGAGATGATTGATGCCAGGATTTACAGGGAGAAGACATAAGTCAGACACGAGTGCTACCCTAAAAGACCTGCCTGGAGGAGGGTGGAGACCTGGGAATGAGCAAAGAATAATCCAGGAGTAGAGCCATCCTGGCTTTGGTGGTTCGTAGAAAGGAGAGGATTCTCAGATCTCAGATTCTCCCCGATCTGGTCAAAAGAGAATCAAGAGCTTGAGAAAGGTAGATTGGGTCCATGAGGTGAGGCCTCTCATGCTAGGCTGAGGGGGGTTCATTTAGGACCCTTTGAAATTTGGGGGGGCAGTGGGGAAGAACTTGGTATTGATTTAAGGAGTATTGATCTGGTCCTGGTATGTAGAATGGGTTGGGTATTTTCAGAGCCCAGAAAGGATGATGCTTATGAATGGAAGGAAGATAAGATTTGGGAAACTGTGTAGAAATAGTCTGTGGCACTTGGCAATTGATTGTACCTTGGCCTCAGGTCAAAAATGGTGCCTTGAGGAGAAGTGTGATTCTTAGACCTTGAACTGGTTTGGGGAGGGGGGTGGGGTGTGAAGTTAAGCGGAAGGAGGAGTTTGGTTTGTAGAGTTGGAGGTGCCAGTGGACCTCACCAGACAGTAGGAATTGCAAAGCTGGGGTCTTCATTCAGGAGCCAGCTAGGAACTGAAACTATGGAAATGGGTTACAGCCTGGTGAGGTGGAGGGAGGTCGTATGGAGCAAAAATACAACCAACTTGTATGGACAGTTTCATAACATGGCCCATTCACAATTTCCCAAAATAAAAGGAAAGCCTCAAGAAAAATTATTTTAGGGAGGTTCTCCCCCTCAAAATAAGAAAAAATCAAATTATGTTAACAGGAAGAAGTAGTTCACATCTGAGATTGGTACTTAACAGCATTTTGACCCATTAAAAAAAACTAAAGATTATAGTTTATGAACCTTAAAAAAGTTATGCCCAAGGTTATTTGGACCCTGGTCTGGACCATGCTGTCCAAATTAACATTCGTTTTCCTATTTTTGCATTTCATAACAGAATGCCATCTTATACTTTTAGATCATGATTCTCCCACATAGGTATGCTTTTGTAATTGTTTTCTTAATGAATTGTAAAATAGAGCTAGTCTTATAGTTACAGGGCGACGTACCATGTGAAACACAGCAGCAGTATTTAAATTTCATTTGAGCAGAATCTTTCTTTTTGGCTGGAGGTTGGCCAAACCCATCAATCTGCCACCCCGTAAGAGTGAATACTGAAGGTGGAAAAGAGTTTCAGGTGGATTCCTACCCTCAGTTTACAGTCTGGGGAACATGTTTTTAAAACTCTGCTTCCAAACCTACGGCACGTTGCTCTTTTGAGGCTATGGTTTGAAGTTATTTTCCGAAAGAAGAGAACATGGTAATTGTATTGCCCCTCCCTTCTCCCATGCAAGCAAGTAGGAAGTTGGGACAGTTTCATAACATGGCCCATTCACAATTCCCCATTGAAATTTAGAGGCAGGTCACCTTCTATGAATACACAAAGACACTATTGTGGTCAGAAGTGAGCTGGCTTAGTGAACACAATTCTTTTTATACTAAAAAAATTTTTTTCTTAAGAAAGCTAACAAGTAGGTGATGGAAACAATGAATACAAAATAACTTTTTCTAGAACATATAAATAATTTTAAGTGACCATTGAAATGTAAGTTTAGAATTCCAGGGCAATTTCTGCAGAGGCGCTAGTTACACAATCATTCTGTTGAAAGCTAAGATTTAGATGGCATTAGGCGGCTGACACATAGTAATTACTCGCCGTCCTCGTTGGCTTGCAGACAGGTGGGGGCTGGGCCTCCAGAGTCCCCCAGGGCGTTTTCCTGTAATCTGGGCGAGTGATCTTCAAACGTGTGCTTTCCAACCACTTAAATACCATATTCTTCCTATCTTGCCTCTCATTTTTATGTTACCACAGATGCCTTCCCCACAGTCTTGCCAGTGCTTGTAGAAAGCTTAGAAAAAGCGCGATAAAATGCTGGGCTAAGTACACACGGGAGAGGCTAGCAATTTTTTTTTAATTGGTTTTTAAATTTTTTATAGCTTGATGGTAGATAACACATTTGCTTCATTTCAGTGACCCAACTCTTAAAAGACCTCCCAGTCATTTAGATTTCCTAAACGGCAGGCTTTTTTCCCTACTTTATCATGTGTCTTTGAGAGACTGATTTAAGGAAAAATAATGCTTGACTCTCTGAATCAATACTTTAGACCTGTCAAAACCCCTCTTTCTAGTGTACTGAAACAGCTGACTTTGAGTTATATGCGGAGAATCAGAGATCAGGACCCCCCCACCCCCATTTTGTCCATGAAACCTTTGCCGTGTATAACTTTACCACCTTTGTGTTCCTTTCCAAGGTGAAAACATAAAATCTTGCAGTGTTTTTAAAGATTTTTGGCTTAAGAAATACCCGGTGCCTGACACACTGTATATACTTCAGTTGATACTGATGGTGATAATTAGATGGCATTATACAATCATTCACTCAACAAACCTTCACTTGCTGAGCACCTACTAAGGTTCCAGGTACTGATTATTAAAAGGTGATTGAGACACAGCCTCTGTTCCTGAACTCACCCTCTAGTGGGAGGCGACAGATTTGTAAATAATTGATTTGAAGTTGCTGAGCAATTAAAATGTTTTAAAACCTGTGCATCCCTCCCCTCCCCCAGCAAATGTGTCATAGTCACCCTGTGTCATCCACGTCCTCAGCACAAGGCCTCACAGGAGGGAGGTGTGCAGGTATTTCCTGAGAGAGTGAGAAAGTGTCATAGAATGTATCCGGGCATAACCCCAAAGAAGTCAGTGACACACAGATATCTGACGAGTATCACCCCACTGCCCACGGAGACAAAAGCCTAAACTGACTGAGGGAGCCTGAATATGTGAGAACTGGCAGGGACTGTGCTAATTTATGCTTATAGACAAAGAATAGAAAAGTTTAAAAGAGGCAGTAGGGACTCCAGACAGGTGCCATCTAACAGAAGAGGAAGGGGTTCCTGAAGTTGAGGGGCTAATAGTTACAGAAAAATTTACCTCGCCTTTGTAATCCATGCCTTGCAGCTAAGCAGGACGGAATTCTGAGGCATTGCCCGGAGGAGAATGTGAAGAATGTACCTTTCAGTGTGTCTTTAAAAGAGAGAGAGGAAGTGTCCGATGCTCCCACTGTAGCCCAGCAATCTTGCAGAACTTGATTTTTACAGGGTAATAGAAATGAGTATTTTCATATACAACTATTCCTTGAGCAAGTACTATCTGGAAAATTTGTCTTCCTATGGTCAATCTTGAAATATAAAATCCAAATAAGTGCTGGTCTAGGGGGTAGTCAGGTGCCAATACTATAGAATTACCTGTTTAATTTCAGCTTTGGATTTTAGTATTAGTTCTGCATTATAAAATACAGTAGTAAGTTGTGAAATTACTTTTTTTTTTTGTTAAGAGATAGAGTCTCACTGTGTCACCCTCAGTAGAGTACTTTTGCATCACAGCTCACAGCAACCTCCAACTCTTGGGCTTTTAAGTGATTCTCTTGCCTCAGCCTCCCAAGTAGCTGGGACTACAGGTGCCTGCCACAGTGCCCAGCTATTTTTTGTTGTTGTTGTAGTTGTCACTGTTGTTTAGGCAGCCCCAGGCTCAGTGTATGTGGCCAGCGCCCTTCCCACTGAGCTATGGGCAGCGCCCGAAATTAACCTTTTTAGCTCAGGAGAAATTAGCAGGATTCCCTAGTGCTTTGTGCCCCGTACAAGCCCACTGTAGGAGGTTGGTTTAACAGCTCAGAGAGGAAGGTTTGTGTGCTTTGGCAGGTGAACACGCTTGTGCAACTCACAGGCTCTGCTTTTGCTGGCAATAGATTATTTCTCATTTTGCTAAAGCATTTCATGTCTTGGAACGTATTTTTTTGTGGTTACAAAAATGTTCATTACGGTCTAGATTTAAGTACCCTTATAGGAAGTAAGAATTAGTTAAGTATTGCGTGAAAGTCCACAACTAATTATTTCTGTTCAGTATCCCCCACCCTAAATTCTCTAGTCTTAGCTCCGTGGTGTAATGTAGACTGTCTAATGGGGTCTTTCTAGATTGTTTCCTTTACTCATCTCTTCTCTGTACCCCACTAGGGAATGAAAGCTACTGGTTGATTTGAAAATCCCTGGGTCTCACAAGCTTGGAGAGGTCCCAGAAAACGGCACAATGTCAACAGCAGGAATTGCTGCTCCGGAGATTAGAGTCCCATTAAAAGCTGGATTTCTACATAATGGCCAAGCCATGGGCAGCCTGAAGACCTGCTGGGGCAGTCGCAGTGAGTTTAAAAAGTGAGTAGAGCACTTACCCTGCATGATCTGTGGAGACACGGGATATTAAAGTGACAGAGGATGTGACCGCTGCTTGATGATGACCCAGATGTTTCCTTTCCTTTTAGCAACTTTTTAAATATTGACCCCATAACCATGGCCTACAGTCTGAACTCTGCTGCCCAGGAGCACCTGACGTCTCTTGGTATGTATCCCGACAGTCTGAGTGAAGTGAGCATTGGAAGAACAGTCGGGATCACGGTTAGCTGGTCCTGCAGCGTTATTTTTTAAATGAGGAAACCCGCACTATTTCCAGCAACAGCCCGACCCTTAGTGGCACTAGATCCTGAAGATAACTGTGTTTTTCTCCAGCTGTTTCACTCCACCACCCTTATCCTGAATCACTGCTTCCCAGCTACAACTATTTATGGAAGTGTGATGTTTTAAAATCAACAAGCAGTTCTCATTCCAGCTGTGATGCGTACTGTACTTTGAGAAACCTCAGACAAGCTCACTCAGCTGCCTTACTAGTATCGAGTGCGTGTGTAAAAGTGACAGATGAAAGTAGTATGTATCAAGACTTAGAAAATTGTGTATATAGAGTACATTGAATGTAAACATGACATTCCTTGGATTTTTGTCAAGAGTTGCTTATCGTAGGGCGCTGGCCCCATATGCTGGAGGTGGCGGGTTCAAACCCAGCCCCGGCCAAAAACTGCAAAAAAAAAAAAGAGTTCTTTTATCATTAGTTGGGTGTTGTGGCGGGCACCT